GCAAAAAATACATATTCTATTCATATGAATCTACAGGGTGCAATAAATAAATTGTTGCCATTTTTTATATTTTTTCATTCTGTACATGTGTGTTGTTTGTTTTTGATTTTGTCAACTACAGAGTATAGTAATGGTCAGTTGGACATGATCTGTAAAAAAAAGAGCACCATGACAAAATTCATTTTGCCAGAAATTTGGAAATAGCATGCTGTACTGTTTGATATTCATGCCAGAATCTCCAACACGAACATTTCAGTGCGTTTGGGTGTCAATATGAGGACATTGCAGAGGATTCAGAAAGAATTAGATGTGAGTCTAATGATGATTATGCAGGTATGGCAGCTTGGAAAATTTGCTCTGATTGTTCAAATAAGAAAACTCGAATGTGTTGGTATGGGCCTCAGACTCAACATAGAGGCCTACATCAAGTGCTTTGAGTAGGTAGTGATACCCTGGCTCAAGAAGATGGCTGTTGGAAGACTATGTCTGGCAACAGGACACTGCACCATGCCACACAAGCAGGAGAACTGAGTCATAGCTGTCAGACAATTTCTGTGGCCACATCACCCCTTACACATGGCCACCTAACTCCCTAGACTTCAACCCCCTTGATTATTATGTGTTGGGTGCAGTAGAGTGAGAGACCAACAAAACTCCTTGTAACACCAAAAATGAACTGAAGGCAAGGATTATGACAGCATTTACCAACTTAATAAAATAGACCATCCAGAAGCGTTGCAGGTGATTCCAAACTCAACTGGAGGCCATAGTTGAAGCCAATTGTGATTTTATAGAATAAATTTATTCTTTAGTATTTCAAGATATTTTTTGTGTAATTTTGGCAAATATATGTTAAAATGAAATGTCAGTGTTATTTTATTTTTGCATAATTTAGACGACAATTTATCCATCGCAACCTGTATTCTAAAAATCTTGCCTGCATTCAATAACCACCCATTGAGGTTGATATACTGTAAAACAAAATAAACCCAAACTCCTAATATTCATAATTTTACAAAAACCCTAACTCCTAGTCTCAATCCTTTAGACAAAAAAGGAAGAATAACAAAAGCAGTTCCAAAGAAGAATATTATTTTTCTATTAAAAAGAAAGTCATCCATAAAAATAACTGGAATATTTCTATAAAGTGCAAATTTTCATTTTTTTTTTTTTTTTTTAATGCACTCTTTACCTGTTAATAAATTTGCTTTTTTTTAATTTTTTTTTTCCTACAGTGTGTATAAGTCGACACCATCCCAAACACATCAACACGACATTACTATCCAAAAATCCATTCATGCTTTTGTTAAGATAGACAAAAAATTCTTTCTTATTCATTTGACAAAGAATAAATAAGCACAAGGCTTTCAACAAATTGGCTAGCTAAAAAACAGTATTTAGCCACGAGCAACCTGCAAACAAGTCAATTTGTTGTAAGAGATAAAGAAACAAAAGAATAACAAAACAAAAAATGAAATAATTTTAACATAGAAAATTATTTCATGAATTTAATGTGTGTATGTGAGTGAGACTTTTTATTTTTTATTCAACATAAAAGTAATGCACTATTTATAAATAGATTTTTTTCTTTTCTATATTAAAATATATAAATGAATTTGTGTTCTGTTCATAAAAGTTCCAGTTGAAAACCTACCCAACATATAAGAGAATATTACACTAATACCTGAAGAAAACAGTGCCTTCCTACTTGAGCCATGTATTTATTAAATTATACCTTATTTAAGAAGCACTAAAGTTTAAATATCTGGCAGCAAGTTCTCAAAAGATTTCAATTTGCCATATTTTGAAAATCTAATTTTTTTTTTTTTCTTTTACTGGATTTATATTTCAATAATACTCAAAAGCATATCCTCAAAATGTTTTTGTCAGGCCATTGCTTCTACGAAAAATGTAAACACAATTTTTTAAGTTTTTATTTTCAATGACTGGCAAAATAAGTCGTGAAAAAAAATTTATCACTTTATTTTCTGGAATTTTTCAACTAAACATTCAGTTTTATTTAACTCAATGGACACAAAGTAAGTGTCTGTTTTCACTTTATACTTACATTGTAAATTGAACCTCTTTTTCTGAAAACTTATTTTTGCAATTTTCAAAAACCACTATTCAGAACAACATGCTCTCAGGTACCATTATTAACCATCTAGAAAATTTGAAGCTAGGAACTAAAGCTGTTTTTTTTTTATTATACAATGACAGGGGACAAAATGACATTTGATAAATTATAGTAAGTGTTAGATCTACATAGAAGCTAATTGCATTTAAATCAGCAGCAGGAGATTTCACACACCTGTTGTTTAAAAGGGGCACAATCCTGGAGCTGTAGTTAAGCTCTGCTAATTTCTCCTTTGTCAGTTTTTGTATCAAGTGCCAAGTGAAGCCTTGTCACTTTAAATAAGAAATTGCTGTTGCTATTCCCTTCTTTTGGATTTTGTCTCTGCTCTTAACCTTGGTAGAAGAATATAGTTATGGCCACCAAATGTAGCCTGAAAATTCTTCCAGAGTTTGATGAGGGCATAACAGATTAGGACTTAGAAAAGGAGTTTGGAATTGTGGACTTTCTAAACAGACTTGCTGAAAAGTAAATGTGCTATTGCTATGCACTTGAATCAAGCATAGAAAAGCAGAGCCATATTAGTCACATCTGAGTTGACTGTCCAGGAGATGAATTTAAATAATAGGATGGTACTGCTGGTCAATAAATTGGATCATGTATTCCTGCAGGGATAACAATTAACACTAATGAGATGCATTTAAAAATATTATTTACTGAAAGTGGTGGAGTATTGATTACCTTTGTTAGTGAAAGTGTGATGTACCCTACAAAGGAGGATCTAATTATTGAGAGTGAAGCATTTCACAACAGATATAGTTGGGGGTGTCAATACAGAACATGTGGAGATTGGAAGTCTCATGGAAATAGATGTAAGGAGGAAAAACCAATCCCAGGGATTTAAACGGTAAGATTTCCCAATGTTTTATTTGTGGTTCCCAGAAACAATGTGCATGTAATTGCCCTTATGGTAATGGTGGTGAGACTAGGGAGGAGCTGATGCCACTGTTGTCCTTGAAAGAATCTCAAAATAATTGTTTGCTAACAATTTTTCAGAGTGATGTATAATCTGAAGCTGGTATCAATGGCAAAGATGTTCAACTGACTCTTTCCTTGGGGGGAAAAATGGAAATTACAAATTCTAGTGAACGAGTCTGCTGAGTGTACCGTTTTGGACACAGGCTGCTCCACAACAGGGTGTGGTGTAGATTAGCTAACAGGATATTTGGAAGAATTAAATAATTATGAGGGAGACAACTTCACTTTCAACTTTTACCTTTGTTAATGGTGGCACTGTCTAATCTTGGAAGAGAGTTACCTTCTCCTGTTTTACAGGAAAGATACAAGCTAAAATTAAAACTGATGTGGTGGATTGTAAGGTCCCTTTGTTGAGGAAGGAATCTATGAAAAAGACACAAATGTTGTTAAATTTCAGTAATGATACCATTTATAAAATAGGCAATAAAAATATATCCTTTTGAAGTCGACCACATCTGACCATTATTTACTACCTATTTCGTTATGGTTGAACCAGCGAACAGCAAAAATAAATTTTCATGAATCTAAAATATTCAGATCCAAGGAGAACTGCCCTTAAACTTCTCAAACAGTTTAGCCATCCAATATCATCTAAATTAATTAAGCTAATTAAAAATGCTGGTGTTGATAATACTGAACTGGAAAATGCCATTGTTGAAACATCTAAGTCATGTGAAATATACTGTAGGTTCAAGAGAACTTCTTCCTGACGTGTTGCTAGTATCCCCATGACATCAAAATTTAATGAGGCTATTTCCATGGATTTGAAGGTTTGGGGTAAGTGTTATTTAGTAATAATTGACTTAGCGACACAATATTTTATAGCAACTCTGATTTTTAAGTCTGTTTCAACAATGATAAAGAGTATATTTCTTTATTGAGTTAAGCTGTTTGTAACTCCAGCAAAAATTTTAACTAATAATGGCTGTGAATTTAATAACAATGGAAAACGTGAGCTTGGTAATCTGTCTATATTTCTGAGATGAGGTATTATGTACACGATTTACATTATTTGGACTATTATCCTCATCTTTGTTGCCATATTTATTACAACATTTCGGCCATTGTACACTCTGGCCTTCTTCACCCTTTATTTAACCCTTTATTTTGAGCGAAATAAAGAGTTCAGTTTGACATTCCAACCACCAGAAGGCGGTCAGAGCGTACAACGGCCGAAACGTAATAAATAGGTCGACAAAGATGAGGATAATAGTCCAAATAATGTAAATAATGGAGCTTGGTAATGCTTTTAACATTAAGATAATGACAAAAGCTGCCAAACATCAATGGAGTGTGTGAGCAGTTAAATGTTGTGATTGAAAATGGTGTTCTCAGGGTAATGGCAGATTGTAAATGTGATGTAAAAGTTGCTTTAGTTTGGACAATAGTTGCAACAAATGCCCTTACCAATAACCTTTTCTCCTAATCAACTTGTGTTTGTATGCAAACCTGCTTTGATCAAATGTATTTGAAAATAATCCTCCCTGCATTGGAGCCAATGACAGCATTGTCTTCCAAATCAGTGAAGAATAATGCTTAAATCTTGAAACAAAAAAAAAAGAGACCTGTGTGTCAGATCTGCATAGAAGCTAATTGCATTTAAATCAGCAGCAGGTGGTTTGACATACCTGTTGGTTACAAGTGGGGCAATCCTGGCACTGTAGTTAAGCTAAGCCAATTTCTCCTTTACCAGTCTTTGTATCAGGTGCCTGGTGAAGCCTTGTCACTTTGAACTAGAAATTGCTGTTAACTATTCCTTCTTTCAGATTTTGTCTCTGCTTTTAGAGTAAGATAATGAAAAATATTCTTGGATCTCACAAGTTATTCATTTTAGTTTGAATGATTCTTGGTTTTTTTTTTTTCTTTTTCATTTTTTATTTATTTTCAGGTTGTGTCCTGGTTAAGTTTGGAGTTACAAGAACTTGCTAATCTAGAAGAACATATAAATGCTGTCAGCAACCTTGAAGAGATCAGTTCATTCCTGATGGAAGTAAGTGCATTCCTACGAGAACTGTCTTGTCCATATGAAGCCCTCACTTCAGGGCCCATAGAACAGAGATTGAACACACGTGAGAATCGAGTTTTACTATTGGACTTCTTAACCACTGAACTATCCAGTGTAAGAATAATATCTGTTAACAAACCATCACCTCTGATCATTGGCAAAGAGAAAAAGAAAGATGATGATGAATCTGATGTTGCCTTTTTCTTAAAACAAGCCCTTACTGTCCTTGGCTTGACAAATATCCCTATCGATGTTAGTCCGGAAGCTTTGTTTACAGACTTGGACAGAGAAATCCGTTCACTTGTTGAGAAACATCCAGACAGACTTGGTAAAGCAGCATTGAATCATTCGCTATCAGAAGACCAGTGGATCGAGGTTCAGAGGATTAATGAGGCACTGAGTGAGGAGTACAACATTCGACGGGAAATGCTCCTGAAAAGAATCGACGTGACTGTCCAGTCATTCATGTGGTCGAAAGTCCACACCAATGACATTCTGAAGGTTTATACACGCAGCCGCAGTTGTTTACAAACCAAATCAAATGTGACAATTGCTTCACTCCTTGCTAGCAGGGATGACCTGTTACGTCTTCAGAAGACAAGCAGTGGTCATGATCGAGAGGTCACCAAATGTGATGTTAACAAAGTTCTGATTGGGGCAGTTCCTGATCGAGGGGGACGAGCATGGGAACATGATGTCCCACGAGAAATGCCACAGTTTAAGAAACGTGTTGCTGGTGGTGGAGGGGGTCACCGTGGTGGAGGTCGAGGTGGAGGAGGACATCGGGGTGGCTTTCACAAATCAGGTCATAGAAATCACAAATATTAAACATGCTGGTAATATATTCAGGACTTTCTTTCTTTTTTTGTTTCCTTTACTTTTTTTTTTTTTTTTTTAGGAAGAAAATTTTTATACTTTTCTATGTTTTTTTATTTTATTTTTTTTTTTTTCTAAATTTCTCCAAAAAGAGAAAAAAAAATCGTATTTAAAAAAAAAAAAAATAATAATATGAACAAATTAAGTTTTAATTTTTTCATGAAAGATGAAAGTTTTGTCCAAAGTAATAAGCAATATTTGATTTACAGGTAAAAAGTGTAGTTGATTTTATTAATATTTCAATTTTTTATTTTTGGACTATTTTAATGATGGTGCGAATAAACATTGAAATATTAGCCAAATCAGTTCAACATCCTAACTCGCTACTCAAATACTGTTTATTTAAAAAGGAAAATCTTTGGAGTTCTTTCCTCTTTTCGGTTTTTAAATTAATTTCTCTTGATTGTTTCATTAATGTATATCTGTGAATCCATAGAATAAAATGACAATAATAAAAAAAAAAAAAAAACTAATCTTAGCCAAGCACATACACAAAACTAATGTTGAATACTTTCTACCATCCCAGCTGTATATGGAATAACTTTCAAATTCTTCGCAACAAAGCCAGATTTCCTTACCTCTTACTATCCCTTAGGTTCTGTGCTATGTATAACAAGAAATGATGGTATAAAAATGTTCATGCCTTTTTATATAGAAATTTATAAATTAAACTATAAGAAAATCTTCTGTTTGAATTTTAGTAAAGGCAGCTAAAGAAAGTATAAAAGAAGTATAAAAAGTAAAAAGCAAGTTGAGTTTTGTACATATCATTGTGAATGGATATACATCATTGCAACGATCAGTAAAAAGTAATTTCTATTTCATTATTTTATAAATTCATGATAATAATTCACTCTTATGGCTTTAATTCATTTTTGTTTTGTGTTTGTGTGATGGAGTTGATTGCTTTGCATTTTGTCCCAAAGAGTAAGTCTTGTTTTATTCCTAATAAAATATTTTCAGCGTTTTTGGTATTAAAAATTGAATCTTGTAAATTTCTGACTAGATTTCTAAAACCAATTCACTTAACATTAATTTTTACATCCTACAGATTGAAAAAAAAAATGTAATCAAGATGGTGGCTAGAGAGGACCTCATAACCAGTGCCATAAAGAAAATTTTAATATCAACTTTTCTTTATATAGAATGTTTATTTAATATTTATTTTCTATAAATTTAAAGACTTCAATTATTATTGACATACATAGGTAAACAACAGGTGTTTGAAAATTTAGCTTTGAAGTCTAAAATACTTTTTTGATAACATTGGAATTGATTTGCAATGTTTTGATTTTAAAGTTGTAACATTAAAAACAAACATTTTAAAATTTTTCTAAAGCAAAACCTTTATTCCTTCATATTTGGTATAAGCAAAAATAATTGTTCAAAGTTGATATTGTCATATGACTTAGAAATTAAATTCTTTATATACAATATAAATATTTACATTTAGATTTTATTTTAAGTTTTGTAGCTTCTTTTTTTCACCAGTTTTACTTGGTCCAATTCAGTAGAGGGTTGCACAGGGGAGTAACACACTATGACAAATGAATTGGACATTTAAATTCTGGTTGATGGTGGCTTTTATTTGCTTCACATTAATTCCTTTGAGAAAGGTATAAATCCACTCTTTTTTTATATACCCTTTTTAATCTAAGGGGTAACAGAAGAAAAGAAATATTTCCTGATGTTTTAAGATAAGTTTTTTTTTTTTTTTTTTTTTTTTTCTAATTGTGCTTGTAATGTAGTCTGAAGTTTACATCATTTTGTCCTCCATAATTTTTATTCTCTTATTTTGTTTTTTATGATTTAATGAGACAAAAATGAACACTACTCTCACTGTAATGAGTTTATAATGGTGGAAATAAGTCGATTATAAAAGAAGTAAGAACTTGAATTGGTGACAGTGAGTCTGCCAAAAACACTAATGGATACTTATGGTTAAAAAAAGGAAATTAAATAAACAATAGCACTGGATAAGAAAATTGGAAAATTACCTGAAAAGTGAAAATACAAAAAGAAAGAAAAAAAAAAGAAAAACATAAAAACTCATCTTGCTCTCTACATATTTGTCAGTACAAAGGAAATAATGCTTGGCAGTATGAGACCCATATAGATATCAATGTGCCAACAAAAGTACTCCTTTTAGAAAGACTGGTGTGTATTTCACTATCATGTCCCATTGCCAATAAAATTCATTAAATTCTATAACTATTTTTTTTTTCTTCTATATTCCTACCCATTGCTTTTGGGTTGGATATCTCCTGTTGAAAGCTTTCGTGTTTTTTTTTTTTTGTTTTTGTTTTTTTTTTTATGAGGGGAGTATTGACATGTTCTCCTCTTAAGAAAGAAGCACTTCCTCACAAAATTCTATTTGGGAAGAAGGTTGGCCTAAGGACCTTTCAGCTCATCCACATAAGACCCACTCATATCTTTTAAATTTGCATCAACTCTGTTATTACAGACCTCACATTTACAATGCTTCAATTCTTATTAGCTAAGCAGGTGTGTAGAATGACAAATACTTGTCAAATTTGAGACTTACAATATGTAACCTTGTATTTATATATTAAAATAAAAAAGACGCTCTCTCTCTCCATCTACAATAAAGGAACAGAAGATGGTAATTAACATTGCATTTAAATTTTTAAGATTGTAGTTGTCAGGGAAGCAAGAAATGGCAAGGGATTTCTGCAAGTGAGAAGTGCGAGAAAAAAAATTGTTACTTTCTTAGAAGAGAGACCTTAACAAAATTGATGTATTTTAATATGAGATCTGGGAAGATAAGAAAAAATGAATTTACTAACTAATGCAGTGCTTCCTCAATTATCCGGACACCTTGAATATGGGGTTGAAAAATGTTAAAAAAATCCAGTTCATTTAATTGAATACCTAAATTATTGAAAAAGAAATAAAAAATATAGTAGTTTTCTGAAAGAAATATAACATTTATATCCTCAAGTAACATTTTCAAACACTTTGTTTAAGGTTTGGTCCAGTTTTATGCTTATGAAAAGGGCCCAGTTTTTGTCAAATTCTCATTTGCCAGTAACTCCTGAAGCTGGATTAAAAAAAGAATACCCCTTTTTGTTTTATTTTTGTTTTTTAAAATTTGATTTCAGAGGTCATTTCAATTTCAAAAGCTGTAAGGTTACAAACTATAGGAAAGCAAAACTTGAGAAACTGTCTGTGTCAGTCAGGGAATGTTACCATCAATTTAAATTTGATGTCCAACTAAAAAAAAAAACATTATAGAGGAAGTAATGAGTTATATAAAAGAAAACCAAAAGCAAATGTTGAAAAAAAATTTTTTCGGTGGGGGGGGGATTTGAACAGCAGACACTAAGCACATCAATATTTTCAGCCGTTTGCAATTGATGTTCATAGGAGAGGGGTTTTTGTATTTTTAGACTTAACCAACTGTTCATGTGGAATATCTCTGCTGAATAGAAGTTCCACCAAATCAAAAGGAGATTAGCTCAGCTAGTGGTTATCAGTTGACCGTCTTCAGCTTTAAATTCTGTGCTGAAATAAATAAATAAATGATTCCCCCCTCCACCCCTGCAACGATATCTTTCTATTCAAGATTGCTTCAATTAGTTGAAATACTCCAGTATTCTTCAGAGAGGACCATTGTATTCTAACTTTACAGCTTGACAGTGTTCACAATGAGATTACATAAACATATCCTTATTGTAAGTACCTATAAAGAAAAACAATAGCTAAGGTTTAAAAGGCATTTTTAAAAATAAATCTTTGTTGAAGATTTTATTTAGTTTCAATTTCAAGCTAATAGATTAAATTTAATATTTCTAATGGTGTCTGCAGTGAAAATACACCAGAAAGATCTTCTCCATTTAACCCTACATAAAGAATTGAAGGCTTTCGAGAAATTTACAATAAGTATAGTAGCCTGTAGTTTCTTTGCCCTGACGTGCTCAACAATCTGTCGAACAGTCAGTATTTGTCCAACAGTTGATCTATTTTTTTTCTAAAAACCATTTTTTTAAATTTTGGAGTGCCTTTTCTACTTCCGGCTTTATTCTGTTGAGAAGCATTGAGTTGTAAATTTTTACTGCAATGCAGGTGAGTGTGATTCCTCTATAATTTTTTACACATCTTATATCTCCTTTCTTTGAGATAGGATATATGCAGCCTTCTGTCCGTCTTTGTATTACTTCCTCATTAGTACACCTACATCATGTATCAAATTCTGCCAATAATCTTTGGACTCTGTCAATAACACTAAAACTGAATTCATAAGTTTCAAGCAGCAAGTCTCAATTCAAATTGTCTCGGGTGAATCAATAAAATCTTTCGAATCTTTTACACACCTAGGAAACGAGATAAATTCTACTGAAAAAGATGTGAAAATTCACATCACTAAAGCCTGAGCTGCCTTGAATAAAATGGATGTAAACTGGAATTTCATCTCCCAGAAAACCTGAAGTGGAGTCACTGTAGAAATGGTGTTAATGTATGGTGCCACTTCTTGGACATTAACTAAAATCCTTAAGTCCAAGCTTGATGGAATCTACATTCAGATGCTGAGGGCTATACTTAACATCTGTTGGAGACAAAATCCAACTAAATCACAGCTTTATGGACTCATCCCTGATATTTCTACAATCTTACATGAATGTAAAATGTGCTTTACAGGACACCTAGTCATGGAACAAGACAGGTTGGTCACCCAGCAACCACCTACATTGGCCAGCGATGTAATGACACAAAATGGCACCCTAATGACCTTCCAAACTTGATGCAGGACTGTGATGGTTGACGTGATAGACTCTTGAATGTCCGAGCTAACTTGACTGAATAAAAAATAATATTTCTAATAAGCAAAATACTTTACTGTATTTCAAACTGAATTTAAATTGATTGGAATGTTTCTTTTTTTCTTTTCTTTAAAATCACTAAAAATTACTAATCTGTTAACATAGTTATTT